TCATAGTTCAATGTAAATGTTCATACATACGTATGACGTTGTACATGTTCTTTTAATAATTTTATATCTTTGTAGAATGTAGTCAGTCTTCATAGCTCAATGTAAATGTTCATACATACGTATGACGTTGTACATGTTCTTTTAATAACTTTATATCTTTGTAGAATGTAGTCAGTTTTCATAGTCCAATGTAAATGTTCATACATACGTATGATGTTGTACATGTTCTTTTAACAACTTTTTATCTTTGTAGAATGTAGTCAGTTTTCATAGTCCAATGTAAATGTTCATACAAACGTATGACTTTGTACATGTTCTTTTAATAACTTTATATCTTTGTAGAATGTAGTCAGTTTTCATAGTCCAATGTAAATGTTCATACATACGTATGACGTTGTACATGTTCTTTTAATAACTTTATACCTTTGTAGAATGTAGTCAGTTTTCATAGTCCAATGTAAATGTTTATACATACGTATGACATTGTACATGTTCTTTTAATAACTTTATATCTTTGTAGAATGTAGTCAGTTTTCATAGTCCAATGTAAATGTTTATACATACGTATGACGTTGTACATGTTCTTTTAATAACTTTATATCTTTATAGAATGTAGTCAGTTTTCATAGTCCAATGTAAATGTTCATACATACGTATGACGTTGTACATGTTCTTTTAATAACTTTATATCTTTGTAGAATGTAGTCAGTCTTCATAGTCCAATGTAAATGTTCATACATACGTATGACGTTGTACATGTTCTTTTAATAACTTTATATCTTTGTAGAATGTAGTCAGTTTTCATAGTCCAATGTAAATGTTCATACATATGTATGACGTTGTACATGTTCTTTTAATAACTTTATATCTTTGTAGAATGTAGTCAGTTTTCATAGTTCAATGTAAATGTTCATACATACGTATGACTTTGTACATGTTCTTTTAATAACTTTATATCTTTGTAGAATGTAGTCAGTTTTCATAGTCCAATGTAAATGTTCATACATACGTAATGTTGTACATGTTCTTTTAATAACTTTTTATCTTTGTAGAATGTAGTCAGTTTTCATAGTCCAATGTAAATGTTCATACAAACGTATGACTTTGTACATGTTCTTTTAATAACTTTATATCTTTGTAGAATGTAGTCAGTTTTCATAGTCTAATGTAAATGTTCATACATACGTATGACGTTGTACATGTTCTTTTGATAACTTTATATCTTTATAGAATGTAGCCAGTTTTCACAGTCCAATGTAAATGTTCATACATACGTATGACGTTGTACATGTTCTTTTAACAACTTTATATCTTTGTAGAATGTAGTCAGTCTTCATAGTCCAATGTAAATGTTCATACATACTTATGACGTTGTACATGTTCTTTTAATAGCTTTATATCTTTATAGAATGTAGTCAGTTTTCATAGTCCAATATAAATGTTCATACATACGTATGACGTTGTACATGTTCTTTTAATAACTTTATATCTTTGTAGAATGTAGTCAGTTTTCATAGTCCAATGTAAATGTTCATACATACGTATGATGTTGTACATGTTCTTTTAACAACTTTTTATCTTTGTAGAATGTAGTCAGTTTTCATAGTCCAATGTAAATGTTCATACAAACGTATGACTTTGTACATGTTCTTTTAATAACTTTATATCTTTGTAGAATGTAGTCAGTTTTCATAGTCCAATATAAATGTTCATACATACGTATGACGTTGTACGTGTTCTTTTAATAACTTTATATCATTCCATTATGGTGTAACCTCCATATTTAACCAATACAGTACAGATATCAAAAATCGATTTTTATGAACACATTTACCACTCTAAATTTAAAATATTTTGTGACAAATAGTAAAATCCTTCACATTACAAAGGTCATAATCAGACCTGTTGATTTCATCCATAAATATTTCTTACTTCACCAGTAAATACACAGTACTTACATTTTATCTTTATAGTAAAATCCTTCACATTACAAAGGTTATAACCAGACCTGTTGATTTCATCCATAAATATTTCTTACTTCACTAGTAAATACACAGTACTTACATTTTATCTTTATAGTAAAATCCTTCACATTACAAAGGTTATAACCAGACCTGTTGATTTCATCCATAAATATTTCTTACTTCACCAGTAAATACACAGTACTTACATTTTATCTTTATAGTAAAATCCTTTACATTACAAAGGTTATAACAAGACCTGTTGATTTCATCCATAAATATTTCTTACTTTGCCAGTAAATATACAGTACTTACATTTTATCTTTATAGTAAAATCATTCACATTACAAAGGTTATAACCAGACCTGTTGATTTCATCCATAAATATTTCTTATTTCACCAGTAAATACACAGTACTTACATTTTATCTTTATAGTAAAATCCTTCACATTACAAAGGTTATAACAAGACCTGTTGATTTCATCCATAAATATTTCTTACTTTGCCAGTAAATATACAGTACTTACATTTTATCTTTATAGTAAAATCATTCACATTACAAAGGTTATAACAAGACCTGTTGATTTCATCCATAAATATTTCTTACTTTGCCAGTAAATATACAGTACTTACATTTTATCTTTATAGTAAAATCCTTCACATTACAAAGGTTATAACAAGACCTGTTGATTTCATCCATAAATATTTCTTACTTCACCAGTAAATACACAGTACTTACATTTTATCTTTATAGTAAAATCCTTCACATTACAAAGGTTATAACCAGACCTGTTGATTTCATCCATAAATATTTCTTACTTCACCAGTAAATACACAGTACTTACATTTTATCTTTATAGTAAAATCCTTCACATTACAAAGGTTATAACCAGACCTGTTGATTTCATCCATAAATATTTCTTACTTCACCAGTAAATACACAGTACTTACATTTTATCTTTATAGTAAAATCCTTTACATTACAAAGGTTATAACAAGACCTGTTGATTTCATCCATAAATATTTCTTACTTTGCCAGTAAATATACAGTACTTACATTTTATCTTTATAGTAAAATGATTCACATTACAAAGGTTATAACCAGACCTGTTGATTTCATCCATAAATATTTCTTACTTCACCAGTAAATACACAGTACTTACATTTTATCTTTATAGTAAAATCCTTCACATTACAAAGGTTATAACCAGACCTGTTGATTTCATCCATAAATATTTCTTATTTCACCAGTAAATACACAGTACTTACATTTTATCTTTATAGTAAAATCCTTCACATTACAAAGGTTATAACAAGACCTGTTGATTTCATCCATAAATATTTCTTACTTTGCCAGTAAATATACAGTACTTACATTTTATCTTTATAGTAAAATCATTCACATTACAAAGGTTATAACAAGACCTGTTGATTTCATCCATAAATATTTCTTACTTCGCCAGTAAATACACAGTACTTACATTTTATCTTTATAGTAAAATCCTTCACATTACAAAGATTATAACAAGACCTGTTGATTTCTTTCATAAATATTTCTTACTTCGCCAGTAAATACACAGTACTTACATTTTATCTTTATAAAGTTAAAGCGACCTGACTTACGTTAACGTAAACACATACGAATTTAAATATTTTAACGCTTCTGAAATTAAATAAGGCACAGAGTAATGATTATACAGAAGGGTCACTCAGGTGTACAACGCGTCCTCATGTCGGCCATTACTCCAGCCAGATGATTAGGATTTCTCACTTGTTTACAACCAATAAAATTACATGACGTCAATACTGAATAATGAATTCAAATATATTTTGACTTAAGAAATGACTTCGAATCATTTTAAAGGTTTGGGAAAAGTCAAAAACCCTAATCATCTGGCTGGAATAAAAGCGGCCATCATTCGCGGCATGACATGCGCGAGGACAATATCATCAAAGGTTCCGACAAGAGTGACTTTTCTGTATATTTTTCTTCTGTGTTAAGGGTTAGAGCATGATCACGTGTGTTCTATGGGATTAAGAGTCCCATTTGTTTTGGATCTTATACCAATGACCTTCAACCAATTACCATCGATTACATTACACTGGATATTGTCCAACACGCGAAATCAAGGAATTGCTCCAATTTTACAAAACGTGTGTAAGACCTGTCTTGGAGTATGCTTGCCCAGTGTTCCACAATAGTCTGACATTGTATTTGCCGTAGAGTCGTAGATGACGTAGAGTCAGTCCAAAAGCGAGCATTAAAAATAATCCTGCCTCATCAAGAATATGAAAACGCTCTGCAGTTTACTAATTTACAACGCCTTAGCGAAAGGAGGAATGATATAACAACAGCGATGTTTCAGAAGATAGTAGCAGATTCCTCACATAAGCTTCATGACCTTTTGCCTCCTCGTTTAGAACGTTCAACTATGGAACTTAGGACTCAATCTTCATTTAATACTAATTTTAATACCAAACGTTTTAGAAATAGTTTTATAACTTATAACTCATTGAAGATGTAATTTATTTATGTATGTATTATATGTAATCTTAAACGTATTTCAGCAATATGGCTGCCAGCTTTAAGAAATAAATCATCCATCTATCTATCTATCTATCTATCTAAGGATTAGATAGAGTGAATTTTATCTAATGTGAGTGTCTCCTAATCACATATGACGCAAGTGATTAAGCTCTAACCGTCTTAGAACATGACCAAAGCCATGAGTGATTATTTATGGTAGAGAATTTAAGGCCCCGTCTACACGTATCCGGATTCGTTTGTACCTGTAAACATTTTGTTCCGGATTCAAAACTTTACGCGTCCACATGTATGCGAATTTGATGCGTTTTTGTGTGTCCATACGTTGCTGCGAAAACGATACAAATACTTAACTATTGCTTACAGAGCATGCGCTTATACGAAGAATGAGCTGGCTATAAAATGTTAAATTATCCGACAAAAACTAGCGCTTCATGGTCATTAAAAGTAAGAATGAAGCTTTTATGTTGACAGATGATAAAGTGAACCTTTTATTAAGTGTCGTTTTAGAATATAAAATAGCGAAAATGTTTAAGGGCACATTTCTGGCATTGAAAGGAGCCGTATCAAAACTGCTCGCTCTATTTCCATAATTCTTTTGATAAGACGGCAACAGTAAATTGCATAAACATAACTATGCTCAAAAATAGCGCATTTAAAATAGAAAGAGTCACTTTAAGCACCAATTTAATCCATAGGATAATGCATGATAAATGAGGATTGGTCAATGTTTTTAAATCATTCCGGTTACAGTGCGTCTAAATGTGATCGGATTCGATGCGTTTTCAATGACAGCTGTTAAGGGTATTTCTGCAGTATGCCAAGGTTTCAAGTAAGTTTATTGGTTTGCCATAACAACATCATTAGGTCTTTGCATTGGATTTGGTGCATCATTATTTTGAATAGCGCGGAAGTTTGATAAATATCGAATCTTTGGTTTTTTGTAAAGTTTACGTCTGATTTCAATGAATTTTGATGCTTCCCATTCAAATATCTTATCAATTTCTTCCTTTAAATCTTCCTCGGACCTTCCTTCAACATCATCAACTGTTATATACATATGAGCATATGGTATAACTTTGTTTTTTCTAACTGTTCCATAGTTGCCACATATCCACGATATGCTTTATAATAAAATGAGAAATAGGATAAAGAATCTAAATTAAACACAATGTGCCTATAAGTATCTATAAACCTTTATTATCCATTCATATACCCATTTGTCCTATCTTACAGATAACACAGACGATGACCCAAAGAATTTTGTTTTCCTAAACATACCTTTTGAATTTTTCATGAACGTCTTTTTTAATTTTGTAATGTTCATCAAGAAATTGGCTTTTCAAATTAAATCCTATGAAGAAATGGTGAATAATGGTTGACCAGTAACGACTTTTTTAAATAAGGGAAGATAATTAAGGAAAGAGGTCTAGGTATCAGATACTAGAAGAGCTGTGGAAGAGGTCTGGGGACGATATACTTAAGGAGCTTTGGGTTTTGTTGACGTAACCGGCTGACCACATAAATTTTACGTAACTGATTGGTCCTTCACTCGACATAGTAGATGTAATGAAATTTAAAGTTTATGATAAAAAATTGCGTTGAAAGTTTTACATCAACCCATATTCAGCTAACAGAACTTTGAGCTTGTATACCAACCCCCCGGTTATCATTCTTTTACCTGGAAATCCAGGAGGAGGTGGAGGGCATTGTGTGAGATCAACATCTTTTCCATCCTTTACAGCTTGAATGACAGCATCGAAGTCCTAAACAAAAGTTTTAATAAATCTCTTATGCAACAAATAGAGCTCTAATTCAATCTCCAACATTACAGACATAGCCTACTACAATGAGATTAAGGATTAGGCTTAGGGATTAAGATTAGAAATCTATTTCGCGCATTTGTAGAACACCATAAAAAGACCTGTGGAGAATGCATGACAATGCTTCCACTTAAATTTCATTTCCGTTCCTTTAAAAGTAACTCACCTTCGATATAATCAAATATTTTTTTGCATTTTCTTTGTCCCCACTTCTGTTACAATTGCGAGCAGCCAACTTATACTGATCTCTCTTTAAAGTAAGTCCTTTTAATGTCTCTTCAAGTTTACTATCATTCTCACGCTGAGGTGGCATTGGAGAAACCAGTTGTGTTCTTGGAGGAACTGTTGGTGTTCTTGAAGGATCTACGGGTGTTCTTGGAGGAACTGTTGGTGTTTTTGAAAAGTTCTTGAGTTCTGGTTTGTTTTTCCATTCATTATTTGACCTGACCGCAGCATGTACCCGAACAGGGAGATTAGGAATTGCTCGGAGAAAATACGCCCTGTAATCGCCAATCTTTTAAATAATTCTGGTTGTGGTAGAGGTCGATCGTTCCAATGCTGGCGAGTATTTCGAATGAGCCTTAAGCATTCTGCCCATGAAGATGTATAATGGACCTTATAAATTTTTCCATTTCTCTCGTACGTGCGAAAATAATCATAGACATCCCAATTAATTTGATTTTTCCAAAGTACGCATTCGCTATTCAATTGTTGAACGACACTTGACTGGAGATCATTTGTCTTAATCTGATGAAGATTCCCAACTTCACATAACATTTCAAACTTCTCATCATCTGACACGAGAAATGGGTGTTTTAATGCTTCGTTAGAATATGGTCTGTCTTCAGGTTTTAGATTTAACATCCACGACAGAAGGTCCTTTAATGTTTCATCCTTGATTTCTTTCAAACCAACAGGGTTTCCATTCAGCATGTTGTCCAGTCTATACCGTTGAATTCCAAAAGGATGTTTTCCTTTTGTTGTTACATAATAAGCTAACATCCCTGCATTCTAAAATAATAAAAAGCGTTACATCAAAATGCAATTTAACAACGTTGAGTTTCTTTACAACTTACAAATGTTTACATTCCTACACTTACATATACATCAGACCTTCTTTTGTAACGCGCTTTGTTTACTGAATCATCATCTTCGCAATATGATTCAGGAGCTATCCAATGCTGGGTTCCCATGGAAGAATTGCTTTTATATGTTGTTGTGTCATTCTTCATTATTCGACTCATGCCAAAGTCAGCTATCAGAAATTTGCTTTTTGAGTCTCGCAGAACATTGGAAGGCTTCAAATTCCGATGTAGAATAGGATTTGGGTCGCTATGAAGATCAGCTAATCCTTTTAAAATTTGTCTAAGAATATCAGGAAGAGCTTTTTGAAGATCATGCAAAGTAGAATCTTCCACAAACTTCACCAGTGATTCTTCACATAAGTCTAAGATCAAATAAACATAATCCGTTCCAGTATCTTCTTTTAAGTAGAAATAATTCACAACATATTTCGACTTTTTTGCATTGAATTCATTCAAAATTTTCTTTTCTTGCTGTGCAAGCTGGATAAAGCTATCTCGATGTATTCGTTTGACTGCTTTACTGGAACCATCCTTACCCAGTCCAAAAAAACACGGGTTGCATCACTTCCTTCGCCAATGCAAAATTCTTCTGAGAATATTACACGTACATTGCCCACCACTTTAACCTCAACACTGCGATTGCGCCCATATTCAATCAATTTTAAAAACAATTCTCTATGTTTCGTTGATTCATCAATGTATTTCCACTCTTCTAGATAAAAAGATTATAATCAAGGGTCAAAGAAACAAAATAAATACATTAAAATAGCTTAAATTTCCCCAATTAGGAAAGGCTACTGATACCGTACACTTTAAAAAAACGTATAAACAATTATTAGACATTTCATAAATTTTTTAACTGGTAACATTCGAGGTTAGCTTATACCACACAATTAATCCCAAAAACTTCTCTCTGCAGTAATTTCATGAATTTTTCTTAAGAAGTAATATTAAATTAAAATTTTGAGAACATATATTTTTAGAGTCTAAAAAATTTTTTACACCGAAAGATAACAAAATAGCTTCATTCAATTTTTCTTTCTATTCTCGACACTCGCCTTTTACATAGAATATCTTATGTTTGTTGCAAAACATTAACATTTGAAGTTCGATCTCAACAATTATACTCTCAAACGTTGTTTTGACATCTTAAAGTGCCAATGAAATGAAAATTTTGCTAGTAAAATTATATCTTTATTGACCAGAACTTTTGAAATGACAGAGTGCTTTCTAAAACCTTTTCTGCATGACTTTTTTCATTCTGAAAATACTGAAGTCCTTGCAATTATCAATTTATCTAACTTGTAACATAATATTGCATGCAAAATGAGTCGCTGCAATGTTTCAAATACCCTCAATTTTCCCGACAACTTTAGATTGATAATGGTACGCAGTAATTTATATCATTAACACGTCACAAAGAAGGAAACTCCGCCATGTTAAAATAATGTATCAGCAAATTCATTGAAAACATCAGTTCTCATTATGCAATGTCACAACAGATAAATCGAACATAATAAAAACTTCAATATCTCGAGAGTGGAAAGTGATATGCATAAACTAGCACAGGAAGTCCATTGTCATATTAAAATGTCTGGTCAATAAAAGTATAACACAGGTTGCTAAATTTTTGTTTCATAGGCATTTTATGCTTCAACTCTAAATTATCTGACACGTACTGTTTCTCTTATTCACCTTGCTAAAGTGAACCTTGTTATCTTTATTTCTGAAAAATCAAGGTCTACCTCATGCTTTTTCTCATTCTCCTGCAACATTGGTAGTATTAAAATAGAGATTTTGTTGTGGTGACAAATCTGAAAATCGTTTTGAAGATCGTCAATAACATAGTGAATTACTTCTACCATTCACCATGGTATTTGCGATCTTCAAAACGATTGCTAGTATTGTTTTCATTTTGCCGAATTGAAAATGGTTATTTGCAGTTTTCAATTATTTTATTAAGTATATAATGATTTATTTGCGAGAAACAATTTGTCTGTCATGTGTCTATTGTGTCAGGGTTTTCGCTATCGAGAAAATTTCCTTTTTGAGGAAAATTAAACCATTAAGCATACACTTACCAAGCTTGAGGTCTGAGCATATTTTGTCCCGTTTCATTTCTTCCAATCTGGTTACATCAGCTTTTGTAGCCATCTCTTGTTTCGTTTCTGCAACATCTTTCTTTGTTGACATGCTTTCTTTGAGTTTCTTGGGAATTTTAACCTTAACGGGAAAAATTAAATTCGTATAGGGGTACGAAAGACGAATCTGACATTGAGATTAGGGAAAGCACCGTTGTAGAGACGATTGATTTGTGTGCGGATTTGTGACGAGTGACAGCCGGTGAATGGGAGCCAGAAATACACTATTTTCTTTGGGACACTAAGGACAGGTGGTTTCTTTTCGAATTTTATGTCAAAGAAACGACGGACAATGTGGTCGAACATATTACTTGGTACTATTTGAGTCAGTCATTTTCAAACGAATAAAAAGATCATTAAAAAAATACATAAATTATGTTGAATTCTTTGTGGCTATAACCGTTTTGTGTTCATAAAAATTGGAAAAACTGAAAAACAGCAAAAGAAATGAGCAACAGACAGTTTTTCTGGCAACGTGACCAGTCATGTGGATGAACAGTCAATGAATCCAAGTAGACGAGTATTCTGCCATTTAGTCAAACCTTACATGTGTATCTGTGTATCTACTGAAAATGTGGATGAACAGTCAATGAATCCAAGTAGACAAGTATTCTGCCATTTAGTCAAACCTTACATGTGTATCTGTGTATCTACTGAATATGTGGATGAACTGTCAATGAATCCAAGTGGACAAGTATTCTGACATTTAGTCAAACCTTACATGTGTATCTGTGCATCTACTGAAAATGTGGATGAACAGTCAATGAATCCAAGTGGACGAGTATTCTGACATTTAGTCAAACCTTACATGTGTATCTGTGTATCTACTGAAAATGTGGATGAACAGTCAATGAATCCAAGTGGACGAGTATTCTGACATTTAGTCAAACCTTACATGTGTATCTGTGTATCTACTGAAAATGTGGATGAACTGTCAATGAATCCAAGTGGACAAGTATTCTGACATTTAGTCAAACCTTACATGTGTATCTGTGCATCTACTGAAAATGTGGATGAACAGTCAATGAATCCAAGTGGACGAGTATTCTGCCATTTAGTCAAACCTTACATGTGTATCTGTGTATCTACTGAAAATGTGGATGAACAGTCAATGAATCCAAGTGGACGAGTATTCTGACATTTAGTCAAACCTTACATGTGTATCTGTGTATCTACTGAATATGTGGATGAACTGTCAATGAATCCAACTGGACAAGTATTCTGACATTTAGTCAAACCTTACATGTGTATCTGTGTATCTACTGAAAATGTGGATGCACAGTCAATGAATCCGAGTGGATGAGTATTCTGCCATTTAGTCAAACCTTACAATACAACGAGTAGCTAAACAATACGGCTTTAAAATCAATGTTTTACACAATTTTACTCACGAAATATGAGCAAAACGACTATTTCTTCATTTCCACACTTATTATTTCGTTCCACAACGTAGAGTCAGTTTTATATTGAAATATTTCTTCGATTTTCCCTTTCTTCGTATTGTAGTGTACACATCATTAAAATGCAAGGGATGGGCTCATCACGAGATCATTCTGATTCACTTCCTTGTAGCTGGATACAGCTGAAAAGTAGACAATAATCATGTTCATTGTCCATAGATGGTTCTCACCAGATTTATATTTTTGCAGAGACTTTACCGATAAATTACCAGAGAAAGGATCAGTTACACGAAGGCTAAATAACGCTATCCATTAACTGAGTAGCAACGTTTTTGAGCGCTTCAAAAATATCTTTAAAGAGAAAACTCAACGATTCAAACTGGACAATAAATGAAATGCAAAATTGGTTCTAGAATTACAAAGTTTAATCATCATAAACAAAATACAACCATGCACATTCACAAATTTAAAAAACTACTATCCAATGGATAACGCTATCCACGCTTCGTGCAACAGGCTACAGTATAAATTTGAAAAAAAATTTGAAGAGAATAAAAACCAAAAATTGTCCAAATGGAAATCGCCAAACTGTTTTTCCGAAATTCAAGGGTCAAAGATCAAGAGATGTTTTGAAGTAATAGGTACTAAGCACCGATCGGCATAACTGACCTTCAATTTCTTATTGTCGTATTGTAAAGAATCTACGAAAATTTGACAAAACTTTTAGATTCAATAAATGATTAACTTCATTAAACTCCTTGAAAAATATGGGTATGTGCCTCATACGGTTTTGATACATGGTTGGATACTCTTTTCTGTGATGATTTTTGTAAGTAATTTATAATAACTTCATAAAATAGAAAGTTTGATAAAGGCTTTGAAAAGTAAATTAATTTCCTGTTTTTATAAAAGATCAAATTGTCTTCCTAGCATATTTTTTCTTATATTTATATAACAAATAGCGCTTTCCCTTGAAAGAGACATCGTTCCTGCAAGTTCAATAAAGTACGAGAATATTTTTGTGAACTTTATGTTATATCTGGTGTAGGTGACGTAATATGAAAAATAATAAAAAATTAGACAAAAAATGTAAAAAAAATAGGGATACATATGTCGTTACCCTCTTTAAATTCCTGACGGATATATCATTTCCCTCATTAAATACTTTAACAGTTTGACATTACTTTTATAAATATCTTTATAATTTGTATTTGAACGTTTACATCAGTATTTATACCAGTAAGCAAGTACAAATAGTCTCGATAATTCTGTCAATTAAACGCCTCTCTGGTTCAATGGAGTCTGGTGTATTGCCAACAATATGACCATAAGCAATGAGTTTCTAAGAACAAAGAATGTTTGAAATACTCCAATTTATAGAACCAAAATACATGACTTAGATTTGTGAAGGAATACAAAATGGTGGTGAAAAGACACATGTGAAGTTGTGAGGCTTGGGAAAGAGTACTGTTGATACATAAGGATAGCAATATTGACAATTTCTAGGAGAAATTTAGGAGGTAACTAACAAAAGAAAATACCGCAGGAACTTATTTTGTGCTATCAAGTTGCAATACCTTAATAACAATGTGATGAAAGAGCTTACAATATTAAATCTATTTCTTACAACTAAAGACTCCAAGTGTCCTAACACATCAAACATAAACAACTTACATGTATACAGTCAAGTGCAATGGTGACAATCCTGGCACATTTTATTTGAGAAGCCAACTGAAAAGGAAGAAAATATTGATCTGCTGTAATGAATGTTTGCTGACCAGGTAGTGGAGGAAGAGTTGCAGAAGAAACATTCCTGAACATTTTATTATAAATAAATCAAACCAACATTCTGGTTTATAAATCTAACTTTTGAACAATAAAACTTAGCAAATTTGTGAGCATGCGTAGTCTGGATATAACTGTGAATTTATTAAGATTCAAGGTTAATAACTCATTTTGGTCATGTTAAAATTGGAAAATTGGAAAGAAAATTGGACAACTTTACATAATTAAACTTACCCTGTAGATTTTTCATTTCCTTGAACAGCGTTTATTTCCTCTAGAATAGATCAAAATCATAAAGCGATCATTTTGTAAAGCAACATTCCTGAACACAGCAGTAAATTATATTCATTGCACACGTTGACATAGATTTCTCCATAAAAATATATACATATAACTCAAGCAGAAGAACATGAACCAGCGATTGACACTAAAAAATAACTGTTTGCCACGTATAAAAAAGTACAAATCATACATTGAGCAATTTTAAAGATACTATCGACAGCGTTCGTTGACATCTTGAAAGAGAGATTACTACACTTAATGTTTTGTTGATAGCAAATATAGAAACTGGTTGAAAATGCATAAAAAAACATAGACCAGATAGAATCCAAATACATCAGCAATAACTACAATCATTACTTATGGATTTATACCTAAAGCCGTTTCGCAAGCTTTCTTTACTTGTGAATGATGAGACTTTTTTGTTTCTTTATCGAGTAGAATTCTTTGCAAAGCATCAGATAGGAACACGTTCTTTGTTTTCACCTTCTTCTGCATGACTGAATGATTTAAAAAGTTCAAAAGGAATGAAAATAAAACCTTACTAAGGCATCTCTATGAATTACCATTCCACCCACTGCAATTCCATTTAATCACGCGACTATAAGGAAGTATGTGGAGCAATTGTGAATGGTAGAGGATTGGGTCGAGAAGAACCAAAACTTTAAAATTCTGAATAACTAATGTAGTGGTCGTCTTTATTTTGACAAAATTTTGACGATGAGAATTGAG